ATTCTAAGTAAATTTTTGTTTGTTTTCCAAAGAGAACCGTCTGTTTGATTTAGTAATTGGTATTTATTTTCAAAAATTTCGGATTTCTGTTTTAATATTAATTTTTTTATAGTATTCGCTAAATGGTTAAACAGTTTTTTATCAGATAGATAATGATATTTTTGCCATCTAGAGCGCACACGCCGTTTTTCAGAAATCAGATTTTGTAGTATTTTCAGGTAGTGATTAATTGTTTGTGTTGTGTTTACTTGATTGAGTTTTAGAATGTGATGATTTAAATATAGCAGATTGAATTGACGTTACAAGATTTTGAGCAGCGCTTTCTATATCTTCCTTATTTTTAATAGATATATTAAGGCAAGTTGTATTTTGCATAATTTTGGAAAATTCGTCCCATTTGATTAGGCCTTGAGATAATGATGGGTGTGGAGGAGTTGGTTCTATTGATACAATCATAGTTAAAAGCAGTGGTTGAATTGGAAAAAAAAATAAAGGTGGACTCTAAATGTAGCTGAACAATTAGCGTTCCAAAGCAAATTAATCTAAAAAAAACCGTGGGGGACTCTGTCCCCCCACCCCCTAAATGCATCTACAATATAAATAATTAAAAATATCTAATGATTAACACAGATATCTATAACAAATAATAAACAATACTAATAGGTATTTATTTGTATTAATTCTATCAACACAGCAACACGTCTAGCAAATTTAAAATCTAAAATGTAAATATATAGCCACATGATAAAATTAATTAATCAATTAACTTTCAATTTAAAATAATTCATGTATTTTACTGTTGCCTACAAAAATTAAATATTAAATTTATAGATTATAAATGTTACTCTTTTATTAGTATATTAATTTTTTTTTGTCAATATTAATTTTAATATTTGAAGTTTAATATTGGTCAAATAATTTATTTCATCCCGTCACATTATTTTTAGGACTAAGATTTGCTGAGAGTTAAATAATAATTATTTTTATCATAGTTATGTATATGTATTGCTTTAAAATGTATGACCAAAAAAATTTAAGGAACTTTTAACTGTATTTATTAACTTTTTTTTTAGGTAGGTACTATGTACTTAAGTAAAATGGGCTAATAACTTTTTTTGGAAAATCAAGTTTTTTTTATAAATTTTATCAAATTACAAAAAAATAAAAATTGCCGGGACTGACGTTCATTGATAATCAGATTGTACATCAGTTTTTCTAATAAATTTTATTTCTATTTTTTTTTTTTTTTAAGGCGGGATTTATGAGGGTGGATTATCAAAAAAAAAATAAAAGTACACCGGTAACAGGAATTTGCGCACGTCTATGATTTATTAAATTAAAGTGTTTTAATTACCTTGGTTATTGTTTTTCTTTTTATTGAAAAAGTCCGATATGGACAATTTTTGACGTTTATTCATGTTTATTTGTTTATTGCTGACGTGACATGTAGGACTGTAGGAGTGCGGTTGAGGTGTTTACTATTTTCAACAAAATTACAATTTATAAATTATATACGCGAGTACGCGACAAGCTAACATAATACCGATTACTCATTCGTGGCGCACCTCGTTTCCAAATAAAATATAAATAATATTTAATTTTCCTTGAAAACGATCACCATTTGTTAATCGTCGATAACTAAAACAACGGACGGATTCTCAAAATACGGAGTCAATATATTATTATTGTCAATGGTTTACTAAGGATCGTTATATCGGTACACCCAGGGAAGTTTTCGTAATAATTATATTTTTAGCAATTTAGCAGCTTATACCACGAATTAATACGCAGTGGAAACACTTGAAACGTGTTACATAAATTATATAACATTATTATATATGTTATTATTGCGTTCCTAATATACATATGTGCTAATAATAATGAACAGATTACGAACTAATACCAAAAATTAAATAAAATATTAATCGTTTCCAATTTTTTTTCATATTTATTTAATTTTTCTTAGAAACAAATTCATATTCATATAATTGTTGAAGGACGCTGCGTCCCCTGCGTTCCTTGATGAATTAAATTAAGGGGTACGCTATAATATGAAGAAAAATGAAGAGTAGCTCAGACCCTTTGCGTCCCCCCCCCAATTCAACCACTGGTTAAAAGGATTGAAGTGTGATCCAAACTAGGGTCATTTAGGTTATTAATAGAATGTTTTATGTGTCTAGGTAGTGACGATAAAAAGAAATCGAGTATATCTGGGTGTCTGTTATGGTGTTGGGGCCAGTAAGTGGGGTCTTTTGGACTTATGAACGTGTACGGTGTATTTTTGGTTATTTTTTGGAGCATTTTGCCTCATTGGTTTTCTGAAATGCAGCTCCATTGCGAGTGTTTAGCGTTAAAATCGCCACCCACTAAGAATTGTTGACCAAGGGATTTCAAAAATTGATTTAGTTATCTTGAGGATATGGCTGGGCGAAGAGAAGATAAACAAATGAGATTTTGGTAGGAACGTGATTTAATGTTATATGAATAGTAGTCGATTGGATAGTGGGAAGCTGAATACTTGGAAGTTGTTGATGTTGTATTTTAGAAGATATTATAATAGCTGACCCTGCGTAGGCTGTTTTATCAGGGTGATCGGTTCTGAAAATTTTAAAACCGGGAAAGAAGAGTTTGGTATTTAGTTTGCAGTGGGTTTCTGTTATGAGTGCTATGTGCTATTTGTTTTTCCAATAGTAAATGTAGTAATTCGGTTTCATGTTGTTTTAAGCCATTTTCACTCCATAATAATGTTTTCAGTATGTTTAAATTTGGTTTTTTAGTTGGCATTGATTATAAGTTTATTTATTACAGTTGTAAGTAACGATATGAGCAGATTTATTATTAATTTGAATTCAGAAATGAAAGAGAAAAGTTGTGTAGCTAAGTTAGATTTAGATTTATATTCAGTATCATTTAGTGGAGTATGCTTAGGTGTGTTGTGGAGATGTTATGTTATGTGATGGAGGGACTGCGTAATTAGCTTTAGAAAATATGAGGTGTCACTTATATTGGGAGGGTTATGGTTGGTTTTGACATCGGAGTCCTCCCTCTTCTTCACAATAGAATTATATTTTACATAATATCTTAAATTATATTTCTTATTTGGAATATTTTTACCATATTGGAAACTTTGAAGGTTTTTGTGGACTTGGCAACCTCGATAGTTGGCCGTGTGATTACCTCCACAAAGGGCGCAGGCTGGTGGTTCGTTTTGGATTTTGTGCAGGCGGAAATAGAATGATTGTCAGCACATCTGACGCATCTTGGAGGGTGACGGTAAAATTATATTATCTTTCATGACGACGGTCATGGATCATAGTGTAATCTATAACTTGATTGCCGCTTCAATTATTATAATACGATTATATTATTGTCTATTGATTTTAGCAGTTGATTAGGGATTGATTTTGTTTTATATTTTATTATACCTATAGGTATAAGTATACTTATTATCCTATTGGCTATTATAGTTCATTGTAACAATTACATGACTTTATAGAAATCTGAAATAGTGTTTTACTTTACGTCTTTACTTACTCTTTACCAATGTACTTTTTAAAAACGTTTTAATTTAAGATTTTGAATTTTATTATTTTCATATAAAATATAAATTAAAATTTTTATTTGAAATTTAAATTTTAAATATTAAGAATAATTAATTAAAACTTAAGTACATTCCTAAATTCAGTATATTGAATTCATTGTAACTATTATAAGTTAGGTATAAGAAATAAGGATACATATAAAAAAAAAACAAAATTATCAAAAACGTTATTTGGAAACAATTTAAAAAAAAACGAAAAAATCAAAAATGTTTTCCATCCCTGCAATATTGTATTTTAATAATGTATTTTTTAACGCATTGAACTTGTAATGTACCTACCTAGTTGGTTTTTGAATGTTAACTAAAAATGTATAGCCTCAACCTCTAGAAATACAGAATTAACAATGGCGACACACTAGTATCTATTTATAAATAAATTGTGTGTAAGATGTGAATATTTTTTTAAGGCTTTATACAAAATACAAATTACAAAATATTAAAGTAATATATAAGTAATTACACAAATAGGTAAATTATGTTAACACAAAGTGGGTGAATTAGAAAATGACTGTCGTCCTGGTTTTGATATATACATTCTATTGGGTAATTATACAGATGAAGTTTGAGATATTACAACAAATATGAATTAATAATAATTCATTTAAGCGAAGAAAATTATAGCACGAAGTGTATTTACATACTATTATAATAAATAGGGCTGTGAATTTAGTGCACTAAAGAACCTTAAAAAATGGATTAAAATTTTAAAAAATGCAATAAAATATGCACTTAATATGTAAAAATATGCAATTAAAATGCAAAAAAATTCAATATAAAATGCCAAAAATTATAGTAAAAAAAGGTTTTTAATTTAATTTTTATATTTATATTAATATTAGGTACAGGATATTATACATTAGTACATTAAATGCATAAATAAGTGTTTATTTAATAAAAAAAAAAAAAAAAACAAATAAGAAAAATCCATGATTAAAAGAAATAATCGAATTTGACTTTTCTATATGTACTATATTTTAGTATTTATTTTGTTAAAATAATAAAAAAAAATTTAATATATTTATTTTCGAGTACCTTATTTAATCTTTAGAATTTAATTAAAAATACCAGAAAATTAACTAAAAAAGGAAAATATGACCTAAAAATGCACAAAAATGACCTAAAAAATTAAAAACACGAAAAAATGCAAAATAAAAGTTGCATAAATGGATTCGTAGTTACATAATTTTAATTATGTACTTACAAAGCTACGTTTTACAATCGCCAAAAAAAAATGCACTTTTCTACAAATTCTTAGCCTTAATAATAAAATACGTTTTTACCACCAACATAACTTCCAAGATAATATAAAAAAATATAATTTTTATCTTATTTTTGGTCACACTGGACATTATATATTTATTATCTATTTTTATGGCTGCACGTGTTGAATTTGTGATAACTGATACATAATTTAAAAAAATGCAAAATTCAAATTTACCAAAGTTATTATGTTGTATTGGTGTTAGGCACTTATTCACTTCTGTAAGATACTGATGATATTTATATTTTAGGTTTATTTGAAGTTAACTTTTATTACACTTGTTGACTAAATCATTTTAGTTCTCAGAACAAATTATGTTTTCCACCAAACATGTAGAGAAGTCAAAAATATTTAAGCCCATATCGTTGATTAATACTGTTACATGTGTAAAGTTTATTAACCGTTTCTTATTAGCTGGTAAGTTAATAATTTTCACCTCTGCTCTCCAGTAATTTCAATAAATGTATTATAATTTCTGTTGAGGTGTTGGCAATATTTTGCTGATATATGATGTAGCTTCTAGACAATTATGTGGACGTCAAAAAATTTTTGATAAAGCTACAGTGCATGGAATTCAGTTCAATAATACTGAAATTTTGGTTGCAATACACGGAGAAAAATATGTTGCTATTTATAAAGTGGAGATTGAAATCAGTTTTTTGTAAATTATATAATGTTATTTTATTTATTTTAGTTAAAAAAAAAAAAAATTATAAAACATTTTATTTTCTAGACTTACATTTGAATGTATCCTTGCAACTACTGATTGGGTATGTAATATCATATGGATGGACTGCAATTTATTATTAACTGTATCAGCACATAATGTAGCAACAATATGGAATATTAATCTTCGAAAAGAAATTATTTCTTCAAGTTGTGATGATCGATGTATATTGTATCCTTTAAATTAATTTAGTTTGATTTTTTAAAATATGCTATACAGTTTATGAACCATACCAATGCTAGAAAGAATATAATATTAACAAACTAGGTAATTAGGTATAAAAAATAACTAATACTTATTATAGTTAGGTTAGTTTTTTATATAATATAGCTAATTAAGGTTTTACTAGTCTTAATCTAGGTACTGATATAATAATTAATATTTCAATGTATTTCTTTATTTTTGGACATGACCCTTGATACATTTAAGTATAATTTTTCAATTTTTATGTACATTTTTGTCTTAAGTGTATTTTTTTTAATGTATTTAACAAGTTTATACTTATTTGTGTACCCTAAACTTGAATAATTCTAAATAAAATTTATTGTTTTATAATCCTATGCATAAAAATTTCAGATATTCAGCAACATCATTAGGAGAAGACAAAGAAAATATTATTGTTTTTTCAGGAACTGTTTTTCGAGAAATAGTAATTTGGAGTCCTTTTAGAAGATTTAATGGTTCAAATATTTTACATAGATTACAAAAACATGAAGTAAGAAGTATTATCTTTTGTATGCTATCATTATTAATATTATTTTTATTTAATTTTGTGTTATTTTATGTATTTAAAATAGGGTGTTATATTTTCAATCACAGTAAACAAATGTAATTCCATTATAAGTTCTACATCTGACGATAGAAGTATTGTCATTTGGAAGGTTGAGCCATTTACTCATAATCAAAATACATATGATCATTGGAAAAATGCAAAAATTACAACAGATTATTCATTATATGCACACAAAGCTAGAGTTTGGAAAAGTATTGTACTGCAGTCTGGGAATATACTAAGTGTTGGAGAAGTAATGACTTAAAATATATTAGTTCTTTTAAATTCCATGATTTAAAATAACACTTATTCAATATTTAGGATGGTCAAATATGCTTAAAAACTTCTTTATCAACTTATCAATGGGAAGAAAGTAGAGGTTCTCAGGTTCGCAGCTTAGACTGTCTGGAAGAAAATAATCTTGTAGCTAGTGGGTGTACTACTGGAAGTATTGGATTATGGTCTCTAGTTGCTGTTCCAAAGAATGAAATTTTAGCTGACTATAAAATAATTAATTGTTATCCTAAGCATTTGGTGGTTTTAAGAAATACCGGCACATATGTACTTTATTCTGATGGGAATGTTGTCTTTTACAAAGATAATTTTTACCAAAATATCTACCAAAATGATATACTGTGTTGTACTTTGTCACTGGTGAAATCACCTTGTAATACTAAAATTATTTTTGCAACTAGTAGTGGGCATGTTGTTGTTCTGAAAAGTAAGTTTTACAATTTTAAATAATATTAATTATAGTTGATGTAGGTTTATGAATTTGTAGTTTATATTTACAGATATGGACAACAAACTTGATAAATTATATGTTGATAAAATTTCTTCAGTAAAAATTGTTTCAACAATTTGGTTAAATAATAAACAAATTATCATATGTTTTGAAGGAAACACAATTTTTTTTTATGAAGTTTTAGAAGGTAAATAAATTTTTTTTATTTGTTATTAATTTCATTTACCTTATGGAAATGTTCTTTTTATTGTCATAAAAAGAAACTTCAGTATCCAGACTAATTGTTATTATAATTTGTATTGTAATTTATGTTACATATTGTTAAATTTATATTTTTTTGTCCATATAGACTTAAAATTAAATCATTTGGATACATTTTGTATTTATTCAAAAATTAATTCTTGGATAACAGTGGCTGTGATGATTGAGGGTTTATTATTTGCCGGTTGTAATGAAGGATCTATTTACTTATTCAAATTAAATCGTCAGGTATATGTAAACAGTAAATTTAATTTAATTAGTATAATTTAAGTATACATTCTAAGCAAAATAACAAATAATAATTTATCATTTTAAAGATATTGTTTAGTATACTTATATGTGTTATAACGTAAAGTTATACAATTAAACAAATTATTTAATTAAATGCATAGAAAAGTTAAATAAAATATATATATTATATATTTACTATTTATCTGATTTGTTAAATGTTAGTAATTTATAATAATTTGATAACATTTCTAATTTTTATTTGGTTTTATGTAAATAAAATTGAATTACTTTCTTTTCTTTGGATTAATGTTCATATCTTATTTTATTTTTAAAATTAACACCAATTATCTCAATTTTTTTTTTTTTGTTATTTGAGTAAAAAACTATTTTAATGTGTTATAATGTAAGATGAATATAGTTATTTGTTGGGGCGTAAGTTCTTATTAATTATTAACTTGATGTTATATATTGTCTTAAATTATTGTATGATTTATATTTTGTTTTAAATATGAATCATAGCAATGATAATGTCTTATTTATTAATTACAATTTTAGGAACCATTACAAGTTTTTAGTAAAATTCATAGTTTTGCTGGTGTTACTGCAATGTGGGTCCATGAAAAGTTTTCCAGTTTTACAGTTGTTAGTTCTGTAGGGCGAGATGGTCATCATAGATTTTGGAATATTTGTACTAAGTCAGAAACAGTGTTTGAAATACGTTGTGAAATATTACCTACCAAATGGCCTTTTATGATTACTGATTCTCACAAACACGGATTATTAATTTGTGGTTTTAAAGAAGTAAAATTTGTTATAATTTTGATGTATTTTAATCATCTGTCATAACTCTTACATTTTTATGTCTTAGAACTATTTAATTGTCTATAGTCCAACGACACAGAGAATTTTAGCAACTGTATTTTGTGGTGGTGGTCATAGGGCATGGGATCTCACATTTGTCAATGATTGTGATTTAATATATTTTGTCTGTAGTTCTTCGAGTAGTAAATTAGAATTAAAAATAATTCCTCTACATGGTCAACATATGCTCTTGGTAAATAACAAAATTATTAGTTTTCTTAATATTTTTGTATTTTAAAAGATTTCTAATTTTATTTTATTTCTTATGATTATAATGTGTTTTAGGACGGTTTTCATTCTATGATTATAAATTCAATGGCTCATGTTGATGATAATCTCATGCTAACTGGTAGTGATGACACTACTGTTAGACTGTCACGTTTCAGTGATGAGATAGTAAGCTTATTAACGCTACGGAGTCATATTTCATCGGTTCGTTCAATATCTTGTCTTACTTTAAAACCTAACTTTTACATTATTGTAACAGCTGGAGGTAGAGCTCAGTTAAAAGTTTGGACTTTAATCATTACAGATAATAGTTAGTACATATAAATTGTTTACACTGTTTAGTATGCATAATTGTACTTATATTTAGTCAAAATTTATTAGATGTATATTGTGAGGAATCAGAGACAAATCTATTAAAATGTAAACAAAATAAAAAACCATGGAGATCAGTTGTACCTTCTAATGAAGGGGAAACACGGTTTATGGATGTTTGTGTTCAATTTACTAAATCAAAATCAGTTTTAATTGCTGTTGGATGTTCTGATGCAATTCTTAGGTAATTCAAGATAAATTATTATTTTAATTATTTATTTATTTATAAATGAATAAAACGCTTTAGAACATTAGAACAATAATACAGTAAGTAAATAATAATTGCATGACAAATTTAATTTTAAATTTAGAATAGTAACAAATATGTGATGAGCAGGGTTCTGGACTTGTAGTATTTGCATACTTTTTTTATTTATTGTAAAATATAGGAGAGTACGAAATAAATTAATTTATTGATGCTATAATATTATATCTAAAATTTAATGTGCATATTTTTGAATATTTCATATATATTGTTGGAAAGTGCTTATTTTTACGTTTTTGTGTTTATTTTGTATTCAAAGATCATCTACAATTGAAAACTTGGAAACATTTAATTATTTAATGTAATAACTAAGATAAAACACAAATATAAAATTATTAATTTGTTGATGTAAATGTAAATTATAATTATTAATTTTTTTTATCATTATATAATTGACAAATACAATTAAAAAAACTGGGAAAATACCTATTTCAAAAAACAAATTAACAATTATTTGTTTTTATTTTAAATTTTTAATGTTTTATTAATTATTAATAATAAATAAATTAAATGCATATTTTTTTAAATTTTTTATTTATATTTTATGATTTTTAAGTACTTATTTTAGTGCTTATTATTGTGTTTTTAATTGCTATAAGTCCCGAATCCTGGTGATGAGTAATATTACATACATTACAAAAATAACATAAAAGACACTAGAATTATAATAAAATTACAAATAATTAACAGTAGAACTTAATGCTGTATAAAAACTGTGTTTAAATTCATGACACAACATAAAAAAGAAATCTATCTGGTTAATAATGCTGTTAGCTAAAGAAAAAACAAGAGGAAAGAGCGATGTGGAATTATAGTTAACTAATAACTTATATTATTTTAGTTAAGTATAGTTAAGATGGGAGGATGTATATATGTTGTGACCTTGTACCATAATTTCTAAAGTTAAAACCAACCAGAGAAAGTAGCTTGGAGGAATCTATGTTATTCAGTAAATCAAACAAGAACATCAAGTCTGCAACTTTCCTTCTTAATTCACACAAAGTTACCCCACGATGGGTAGACCGCAGGTGATATGAGTTACAGTTAATAGCCATATTTAATTTACTACAGATTAGTTTTAGGAATTTATACTGTACATTTTCAACCTGATTAATGTAGAGAGCATGATTTGTTGACTTGGTGGGTCTGCCAATTTGATGACTAAACTATATAGCCAAATTCTAAGTGAGACCTAACAAGTGAGAATTATAATAATTTCATAGAATTTATGTTTTTGTGTTTCTATAAATGAAACTTAACATTTTGAAATCTTTATTAGTAAACAAATTTATGTATGGGGAGAAAGATATTGCATTCAAGTAAAATTCCTAAGTCTCTGATAGAATTGACTATTGTAAGCAATGTATGGTTGATTGAGTAGGTAAACAAAAATAGGTTTATGCAGGCGAGTGATACTGAAATTATGTGGAAAAAAAAATTATATGTTAAAAATCTGACACTTTACTGAAATCAATTTTACCGAAATAAAATAGTAAAAAAACTAATAACACTAAATAAATATTGATTTACTTCATTTCACTATTGGCTCATGAAATATTTTCTTATATTTTTAATTCTAATACCTAATTCTTAATAATGATATACAATTTTAACCTAATATTTATTATTATTATTAAAATACATTTACTGTTAATTATTTTCATGAGCTATGTGTCCATTTTATGTAAATAAAAGTAAGTATCTAATTTCATAGAATTTACTACATAAATGCAATTTATAATAGTATTGTTTGTTAATAGTATAGTTATTACTTTTATATTAATAAAATATATGGAAAATATAGGTTGTACAATTATAATACAAATGAGAAAACTTTAAGTTTACTTGAAGAAAATCTGGATAATACCTATTGTATATTAAAGATTTTAAGAATTCAATTCAATACATTTCATTATATTATAACTACTGATACAAAAGGATATGTGAATTTTTGGGACATTTCTAAATATATTGAAAATAACAATGAAGAATTTGCAAGTGCACCAAAATACAAATATCGCTTGCATCAATCTGGTATAAACTGTTGTGACTGGTTAGAATTACAAAATATGAATAGTTTACTAGCAACTGGTGGAGACGATCAATCTTTAAAATTATCAATTTTTCATTATACAGATACTATTACATTATTGTGTAATGTTTTTATTTCTGTTCATTGTTCTCAAGTTACAGGTAATTTTTATTTATTTTAAACAGTTATTTATATTTTATTAATAATATTTCTGTTTTTTTAGGTATTAAGTTATTTAAAAATGTAGTTATAAGTGCTTCTGTGGACCAGAAAATAATTTTTTATGCATGGAGTTGTGATTTGAATTCCAGAACTATACAAGTGTCACCATTATCATCATACTTTACAACAGTTGCAGACATTCATGGTTTAATAGCTCAAAAAGTTGGGTAAGTACAAATTAATTACAATTTTCAATTTGTGTCTGCTTACATTTTGAATAGAATATTTTCCTAGTTAATGTATTTAATTATATTTAATGTTTTGTCCAGAAAACATTTTTGATTAAAAAAAAATTAAATTTTTAATTGGTTTCTTAAGAAGGAAAAATAAGAACCCTTAGTAAAAGCATATACCCTAGGATCATTGATTAAAAAATATAATATTTAACTTGTACACTTATTTTATAATTATCTAATATATGATATTCGTTATTCAATATATATTTTACTCTGTCTTTCCTAAAATGTTTTATTTCAAAAGTTATGATATATCATTGATTTAAATTTATTCATCTTAAAAACTTAAACACTCTATTTAATTATTAAATATTCACCTCAAGTCATGTTACATTATAATATCTTATTAAAACTCATAACCAATATATTTTTTATATTTTTAAAGTAATTTTCAGTTTTCTGAAAAGTTTTTTTTATATAATTTAACACCAAAAACAAATCTCAATATATTAAAATAAAATTATACTTAATTTAGCAATCTGTTATATTAGTTTAATAAAATAAATAATTGTTTTATTGATAAACAAATATTGACTATTATTTTAGTTGTATTTTAAATCTTAAAGTAAGGATTCACAAATAAAAAAAAATATTATTTATGAATTATGTAATTTTAAAATTTGCGACTAATATAAACTCACAATTATTTTACACTATGCTGTAAATACATTTGAGTTTCAATTATATAAGATATTCAATACTTATATATAATATTGATGTAAACATTCAACTATCATTGTTTTTAAAATTCGATGATTTATCACCAAAATGAAATGTATAAAAAACGATTACCTATTTCGTTTGTTATTGAAACATATTCTTATCTTGGAAAACATCTTCAAAGTGGAGTTCATACGATGAAATTGTATACCTTGCCAAGCTGTTATGTTCAGTCTAGTAGGTACAAGCCTTTGCTATTCTCACCATGTGTTTTATATGATTCGGACTTCTACCGACAATTTTCGTATAGATATGAGCTGCGCCACCCTGTACTGAGTTGAGGGTCTCACGCGACGTTTGTTTCGTTCGAAGCTTACACTAGCTTCGCGTCGTACAAATTTGACTAAAATTTTTTTAATCGAATTTAAAATTTATCAATACCTTATTGTCAATCTCATATTATTTATTTGTATCACTCTACCTTTCGTGTTTATATATGTCTGTGATTTCCTATTTTTAGGAGAATACCGCTTTTACCAAATATGTTTTACAATTTTTTGTGAAGAAAAATATATAATTGATATTTGAGTGTGTATATACACGAATCTGTTAATTTCGGAGAATTTGATTAAATTGAATATTAGAACAAATTACATGAACACTATGTTATAATATCAGGTTGGCTAGCTTATAGTTAAATTTTTTAATAACTAATAATAAAACGTAATAAAATGAAATATTTAAAACGCAATTATACAACATTTTATAATTCAATAAATTAGGAAATAAATTATGATATGTTGTTGCTGTACGTATAATTAATCAGTTTTAGTGCACGTGTGAATTGTGTTATATTTTATATTATACTTTTTTCAAGCATGTATACATGGTTTTAAGTATACGTAATATATACACATACAATTTAAGTACCTGATTAATTTGATTTCAAAATTATTTTTTAAAAATTACTTAAGTGTATGTATATTATATTAAAAATTGTATTTGTTGTGAGTTTTTAATTATAAAATTCAAAGCGTTGTTGTTTAAATAAATATTATGTTAATGTTTTAGGAGTTATTAATTTGAGTTGTTAGACGTATTTTTAAAATCGATAATATCTAAAATATGACTAAATGACATGCATGTATATGTATTTTACACAAATTATTCATTATGTGTTTATATTTTATCTTAAAAATAATTTTAATTTTATACATATTGTCTAATTATATAATTGAAATTCAATATTTGATCTACTTGTATTATTGAATCAAAATTTGTATAACATGTAAATTAACTTTAATTTATAGTTTTTAATTACAAATCATAATTATTTTAATAATTGGATATTACGGAAAATACCCGTTATAAATTATTATATATTGGTTATTAATGATATAAAATAGAATTATTTATTTTATATTCAATGTAATATGTTGCATATATTTTTATTGTATTATATTTAATTGAGTCATATTCCTATAAGCTTATCAATAGTTGTACTACATATTTTTTTTCTCGAATTTTCAAATTTTTAATTTTTAGGGTTTACGAATACGCAATTTTTTTATAAAAAAATCTCTGGGATTTAAAAAAATAACTCCACTCCAAAATATGAATTTCAATATAAGTTTATCCAGCTGAGATATTTAATGGTACCTGAAATCGTGATTATACTGTTTATATGATACTCATTACACTTATATCACAGATAGGTACCGTAAGTGTAAATATTTTTATTTATTTTAAAAATTTTCTTTATATTTGATTCCTGGCTAAAGTGGTTTACTTATGATTAAATTATAATATGGCTATACATGAATTTCGAATTTATTTATGGATCAGGATGGTTAATATTTGTAATTTTTGTTTTGTTTTTATATATAATGCATAATTGGTATGATTTAATTAAAATGTTTGTTTTATATTTTCGTGATAAATATTAGTATTCGTATATTAATACAAGTTAAACTGCATTATATAACTAAGTTGTTAATGAAATACTTCATAGTATACTGTTAAGCCCAGTTTAAGACCTTCAAGGGTCCAGGGGCCAATACATGGTTTTTACCCACCAATGAAAACAATTCTTTAAAATAATAAAATTATATAATAAAACAAATTTAAACTTTCTTAATTAAGCATATTATAAACATTAAAAGCATTTTATTTTTATTATGCTTAATACATATATTTATAAATAAAATTAAATATTTTATGTAAAAGTTTTTTTTATTGCTTTTGTGTAGAAAATGCTTCCAAGGTTTTATTTTAAATACAGCGATAACAAAATATATCCCTATTCTCCATGAACAAAAACTTAGGTGTCCCTATTTACCATGGGGTAGCCGTAACTTGGAAATTTATTGGGGGGAGGGTGGGGGGGGGGGCAAAAATATAATTACATATCTAATGAAAAGTGTCCGAGGCTAAATGCCGCTTTACTACCTACATATTATTATATAAAATTATTAATTTTCTAACATTATGTTAGTTAAGCGAAAATTTAAAATTAAGATTTAAAAAAAAATTATGGTAATAGTTATAACCAGGTGTTTTGTACATATTTTAAAACAAGGTATGTTAAATATTAGAGGGGGCACTGCCTTCCTAATTTATTCTAGGGGCAATTGCCCCCTTGTCCACCCAATATACGCTTATGATTACCATGTCCATGTTTATAGGCGGGCGACGGTCCCAACGACCATTAGTTTATAAAAAAAAAAATTAAAAAAAATATTCTTCTAGGCACTATAAAATGTACAAATTAACATTTTATGTAATTTTAAGCGGAGACGACTATAGGTTTTTTACATACGTGGGCCCCGGGGACGTGCCCCTCCTACTTCCTTAATCCGGGCTTGTTACTATATTAAAACAGTAATTCCAAATTGAAATTTTTTGTTATCTATTTTATTTTGTTATATTTATATTTAGGTAATATTTAGTCATTATAATGTCATAAAATTAAAACATTTTATATGGCTCAAAGTTAAACAACCATGATGTGGTAGGATGGATTTAACTTAAAAATCCATACATTGGGTATTGGTTTATTTATTTATCTAAGGATATTTGATTCATGGCATGATTCTATGAATAATTATACAATTATGAGACTATAAACTTCCGAATTGTTTTATTTCTATATTAGAAATTGATAATGTATTAGAAGTATTTTATTATATTTGAATTTGTTGCAAAACGCCGCTATCTGTGGTCAGCTGTTAACGTCTTCCTAGTTTTTAGACCATTCAAATTTATATGCATAATGTTTCTTATTGAATTGGTATAAATGTATTGACATAAATCATAATTGTACTATTCACAGTGGGAATATCGATTATATAAGGTTTCTTCATTCTTTTATTTCTCTGTACAAAAATGAAAATGCTATCGTTCATTATTTTATATAAAGTATATACTATCTGTATTCACTGTATTGCATCTGTATACACTGTATACTATCATATATTATAGAACATCCCATTGCATAAATAATAAAAATCAACTCAAGGTCATTAGCGATAGCAATATTTTTACTTGGTGACAATAATGAAGTTAATTTTTTACGTTTCTAATTTTCCAATTAAGAAAAATGGTTGTATTATTAAAAAAACATTGAAATATTTTAAGGTACCTTTATCTATATTAAATCATATTATTAAATATATTTTAATTATTGCAACCTTGAGGTGATTTATTTCTTAGTTTTTTTTTTTACTTAAGTACTAATCTTTATTTGTTTTGAGCAAATATTTCATTAAGTAACAATATACGATTCTGACATGTGTTACTAATTATTATTATGATCTTAGTTGATCGACTATTTATATTTTCCCTCAATTAATTATAATTTTTTGAATGCAATTAGGCATTGGTATTTTAAAAGATTGTTTTAATTGAATATTGAACTTATAGCAGTAATAAATATTAAAAGTTTATATTTTTTGTGGGAAAATTGCATGCGTTAAGTTAATTTAAATCTCAAGGCATTGTTAAATTTAGAAATATTAATGATTATTGACATTATATTTTAAGTAATGGTAAAATTAAATCATCATTGAGCGAGGTAAAATATTTTAAAACTTACTAAGACAGTTAACTCCTTTAATTATAGTAACTTATTATAAATTTTCTTTATGTGTATTCTAGACTTAGTTATTTGATTATATTATTATTACGTATCAATGAAATTAATATAAAAAGGAAGTACAGTGAACATTCGTTATCTTTTATCTGAGGTTCAGGATTATGTTAATGATAAAAGTTGTTAATCAATAAGAAAGGAAATGTAAAAAGAATCATTAAAGAATAGAGAATCACTAATTAAAATTATAGTACGCATAACGATTACATATGCGTGTATCGTACACCTGTACTGTCTGTTAAAAACAATAATGCACTGCTATAAAATAAAAGTAGAGCCCGTATAATTAATTATAGAATGTACATACATTACTATTCAGGCTTTTTTTTTAATTGTTGTATTTTATTAATTGAGGTCGGGAGACGGAAGTTCTACGTAACTAGAAAAATAAATAGTTTCCAAATATTATTATGGTAAATAATTTATTGTGCCTTTAAAATTGACAAAAACACATATATCGAAATTATTATTAAATTATGAATAATAATAAGTATTTAGAAAAGTGGTAATAATGGAGTGTAAACTAAAGAAAAAAGAAAACATCTATAGCAATAATTTAATATAAGTTCTACTCATTGTATGAGTGATTATACAATATTTAACCTATATATATATTGAACCATAACATATAATATTTGAATCCTACAACGTTGAAACTGAAGAAGGCTTTATTTTCACTCTAATTGCAATTAAATATACTCAAATTATATAAAAGAATAATTTTAAATATCCATTATAGATGAGTTAAGTTAATTTTAATCATCTATCTACATTTTAAATTTAAATTGTAACTCACAGTTTTACTTTTATATAGTTATAATTTGTTGACAGACAATTTTTTAGGTACTACTGGGTAATCAAATATTATGTGAAATACATCTAATATATAAAATATTTAAATAAATTTTATTTATTGCTTATTATTTATTTTTTTTTAATTTCGTCTTGATAATATTTTTATCTTTAATAGTATTAAGTATTAATGATGGAAATATTATTTTAATATGTACGACTAGTTGGTATTATATCTACATTTTAATTGATCCCGATGTACTAACAATTTACCTATACAATAATCGTTTAAAATAGTAAAATAATACAATTGTCTTGATATTGTCTTACATTAATTAAAACTACAGAAACAATACAGTTATTAGGAAATTGTATTTTTATGTAACACATACTAATATACTGGTGTCTGGTATATTGCACATTATCTATGAAACTTGAACAGGTTTTTTTTTTTTTAATTTTTCTTATTCACTTTTACCTTATACCATAGCAGAAAAACTGTTACATATGTGAGATTTAGATTAATTGCTTATTTTAAATAAAAAAAAAAAATTTAAAAACTGTACAATGTTGATATACTACGTTATTGTCATTGAAACTCACGTGTGTATGTTATTTTACTCTAGACCGATGGTATTTTTTTCATGAATGTCTTGTTTATTGTTTATTTGTTTTATTGTATTCGTACAATATAATGATTAATAAATTGCTTTAGATGGTTGTATTGTTACGAAAACAATATTATTACTGATAATAGCCAATGTTTATTCGAATTGGTTATGACGTCGAAACCGGTAAATTACGTATGTTGTAAAAAATATATAGATAGTGATGTTATTTACTTACGAATTTATATTTTCTTAAATATTATAATATGTTATGTATATTAACATCCTTTAACTGTAATCGATTTGGTACGAACTTGAATTTCAGAAAACAAGTTGTTTACATTATATTTTGTGTATTTCAAATAAGATTTATTGAAATACCTCCATTGAATAATACATTGTGACACGAAAATGTGTTTGTTATATTATATATTTTAAATTTTCAAATGATTAAATAATTTCCTAAATTTACTTGTAATAACGTAAAATATAACAGATGGTTAATTTAGCGAAACAGGTTATTGCTTGATATCTCATATTGTTTTTGTTTTAAAAATATAAATCGTAAGAGTGGTTACGTTCTATATCTTGATTGCATTTTGTATCCATAAAAAATTATTATCAAGCTACATATTATAGTTTTTTAATGTGAATAATTCATTTATATAAAAAATAATAAATCTATTTCCTCAGAAGATGCGTTAAATAAATTGGCTTGTTTCATATTCCAGTAGCTAATCAATTTTTATAATAAATGTTTAACAAAATGTTGTTATATTGATGTACCATGTTATTCACTACCTTTTGCTTTTAATGGTGCGTATTCTCCTTGACTAATAGTTAAAAATAATTAAAAATGACGATATTTAACTGACAGGTAAAAGAATTACAGAATTCTCAGTTCTATCATATATCCAATTTTATTGTTAGGTATCTCTAGGGTTCAGATTTTAAAGCATCGAAAAGCACTGAAATATTCACAGTAATATGACAAAAAAACCTTAAAATATGTTATGAAAACATAAAAAATAGCATAAAAAAAGATATGTAAATAAAAAATAATTTAACTAATTTTTTTTTACTGATAGTCTATTTTATCTTTTTAATTAATACCTATTATAAAACCTTATGAATTAATACATTTATAAAAAAAAAATAAACTAAAATTACCTTTTTCTGTTTACAATTTAAAAAACTGTCAAAAAACAAAATTTTTAGAATTTTTTTTCATAAATTAATACTATTTTTCATTTAATATAAACAATAATTTTGAAAAATATTAAATAAAGCATTATATTATTATCCTTATTAGCAGGAAATAGCACAAAAACTTCGAAAATAATACTAAAAATCTAAAATAATTCAAATATGGAAAAAATAGCAAAATAAAATTTCATTTTTTGAGTCCTTTGTGCATAACACAAATTTATATCTCACTTTGCTATTTTCATCTATATCCTATAACAATTATCAAATGCTATAAAATCTGAACCCTGATTATCATTATTATTTTTGTATGTACTTATATATGTATATAACAATTATTTGTACACATGAACGGACATTAATATTAAAAATGTACATGAAAATTTATTTAATTGCATTTTGATATTTCGATGGGTAATATTTGTTTATATCATATTATATTAAATAGGTACCAATCGTTTTTTACAGAGACGCAGTTAAAGTGATTGTCTACGGCCAAGGAGTGGAATCGTTTTGCGCAGATATGAGTTTACTCAAGCCACAGCCTCAGGTAAATGGGTTCGCGGTTGTGATAAACACATGCGTCCATATTATTATATTTATAACAGTGAATGACGTTGTACCGCCACCGCTGTCCATAAACGGCCTTTCGTATAAATAAGATTGTTCCCCTTGTCAAACTACATTCACGATTTTCTTGTATGTACTACATCAATTGCTCTTACCACCATATGTGATGTGATATATTTTCGCGGGAAAATGTCCGAATTCAATATTAAATACACATTGTTTTTTACGTTACTTAGCTCTTGCTACCTCATCGAACCGTTATGCGCTAAATCTATTAAGGTATACATTTTTTTTATCAGTATTTCGTTATTTTGATGGAAAAAATAAAAAAAAAATGATGATACAGTCTGCTATACCGTTGCTTATACTGGTTTTTAATTCGGAATTTGTTGTCATTATATAGGTGGCCAATGTAGAACGTGTTTCCCCGGCTTTAGAACTTGGAGAAGGTCCGCACTGGCATCCGTCGACGCAGAACTTGTATTTCGTTGATCTCCATCGGGGAAAAATCAACAGATACCATCCGGAAACTAACAGTTATTTTAGCGCTACGATAGGTACGACGATTATAATATCTGCAGTTCGATACGGAGAAACGGGATAGGATGTTTTGTTTTTTTCCATAATCTATCTGTCGTTTTTCGTAGATGGCTACAACGACGTGACTTTCGTCATACCGGTCGAGGATAAGAACGACACTTTCGTGGTGGGCTTGTGCGCTTCCATTGGCGTAGTCGAGTGGGACGGAATTTCGGACAGAACCGGCCGACCCGAGTACGTGAAACTACTCGATGAGACGTCGGGCAACCGTCTGAATGACGGCAAAGCCGATGCCACCGGTCGAATTTGGGCGGGTAAGTTAAGAAAGATGCTGTCAGGTAGCATGGAGGTAATGCAATTCTAATTATTTAATTTTCCTCGTAGGATCCATGGGATCAGAAATAGAAGGTAGTCCGGGCCATTACCACAAGCACCGGGGTGGTCTGTACTCAGTGGAACTGGACGGTACCGTCATCAAACGTTTGTCGAACGTAAGCATATCCAACGGGATGGCGTGGAGCTCGGACAACAAAGTGTTCTACTACGTGGACACCTACAGTTTCGCAGTCGAGGCGTACGATTTTGATATCGTTTCGGGAGACCTCTGTAAGTGATCCATTTTAAACATTTATGGTTCATTATAATACCAATGTCGTTTTCGTTATTGTTATTGTGCAGCCAATCGCAGAGTGGTTTTCGATTTGGAAGCCGAAAAAGTTGAAGGCGATCCGGATGGCATGACCATCGACACCAAAGGAAACCTTTGGGTAGCTTGCTTTAACAGTAATCACGTGAGTTTATATAATGGTTCTTTTAATTGTTTTTTACTTTTTTTATTTAATTTTTCTCGTAACGATTTTCCTTATGAATTTCGTTTTCATTTTTAACAATTTATCATTTTACAGATATTGAAAATCAACCCCGAAACTAGCTCGTTATTGATGACTGTACAATTACCAGCGTACCAGGTCACTTCCGCTGCGTTTGGCGGTTCCAAATTAGATGAACTATACGTTACCACAGCTGGTTACCAATTAACCAAAGCGCAAAAAGCCAAAAGACCATATTCTGGAGCTCTTTTCAAAGTAACCAACACAGGATCGACTGGTTTTGCCGGTTATTCTGCTAAAATACATTTGTGTCCTGAAAATCGACTTCATACATTATAATAGTCAAAACATTTTCTATTATATTATTATTTATTCAGGTATAATATGTAAATATTTATTTATAAATATGTATATTTATTTATTTTATAAATCTTGCGTATTAATTATTTTATTTAAATTAATGTTAAATCGTGAAGAAGTATTTTCATGTACATAAAGTCTATGTCATTAATTTTTAGATTTTTTAAAAAAATATGTATATATATATTTTACCATAACTGTTGTTTGATAAAATTATTGAATCGTTGAGTTTTTATAACATGTTAAGGAATTATTAAACCATTGAGTTGAATGTTTGTTTTTTATTTATCATACCTGAAAAATTGCTTTTATGTACTTAACTCATCTGTTTTCATACGTTTAAAATAGTTATATATGTTCAATAGAAATCAAAATGTGTAAATAATAATCATATATAAATTCAGTGCCATGTCGCCATAAGCGGACAATGACCCTTTAGCCCCATTAACCCCCCAAATATTTGAAAATTACTCCAAAATCGAAACTTTATTAGAAATTTTATTCATTGTTTTTATAATTATCTGTTCGTTTTTTTAAAAATCGTAAAATAAGAAATAATAAAAAACTATTTACAATAGCATTAACAATACCAATTAGTTCGGCTACTTGTGAAAGAATTTTTAGTGCAATGAAAAAAATAAAAACTTGGCTAAGGACATTGTTGGTTCAAGATAGGTTCAGCAATCTTTCAATACTATACATTGAAAAAGATATATCGAAAAATATAAAAAGCGATGATATTTTGAATATCTGCTGATACAAATTGATATTTGTCATTAAAATAAAATATTAATTATTTTTAAATATACTTTATTTATTATTGTTTTTTTAATACAATTTAAACATATCTATATTTTTAATATTAATAAGTTTCACTTGTGTATGGGATGGAAGTGTAGGGGCGAAGCTCCTGCGGGTTATTTTACATTGAATTATTATAGCCCCCCCAAAAATTCAACAAAATTTTCGCCTATGAACGGCGCGATGCAACAGTCAGCCCCAGTGTTTTTTTCAGAAAATTGTCTCCGGAAGGGCATTTGAAAAAAATCGGGGTCCATTTATATTACATCGATGAATAAAGTATTGTATTGATTCATATCTAATGATTGTAGGTCGATTACCGTGATAAAAAAAATACATTTTTCTTATATTTAATATTTCGTTACTGTTCTTCAAGTTTTGCTCTGATGGGTTAGAACTACCGAATGGATGCTTTCGTAGACATACAATCGGCGTGAGAGCACGACTGTACATTATAAGTTTACATAAATCACGTCACTCTGTATTATGTTAGTATGTTGCGCCTACTTCGTATATTTGCCTTCGATTAAGAATTTACTTAAAGATCTTCGGACGATTTTAGGTTTGAGTCTTGAAACAACTCAAATCGTAGTTAACATTTAATAACAGCATCGTTGTCTTAGAACGTTGGTGCTACTGGTTTCAGGTATATAATAATTGCAATAATATCAAGTACGATGTACAGTAAACGGAGTTAAAGAGTGTAAACACGGGATTGTTAATGGTCGAGTTTTCATTACAGAATTATCGTCACAAATGTGCTAAAAAATGTTTGATTATGTTCTATATCATGCATAATGAATATTTTTAAATGATGTTGGAAAACAGTTGTTTTCCGTGATGATATTCACGTCGTCCATTGCATTTACCAGAATATACATAGTTTTATAGCAAGGTCGCGTTATTTTTTCAATAAGAAATATGAGAAATAAAAATTCTTTTTCGCACGAACGTCAGGGAAATACTTATTAATACAAATATTTAACAGCACAAACTGGGTTGTGCAGTTATTGATTGCGCAGCGCTACGTAGTTTGGATGTATTACATTTATCTTCCAATAAACGTACATGTACTTAATATCCGGGTATAATTATTTCAATTCGACGGGGAACAAATGCAAGAACGCATAAAACGCGTGATACATGTCCCAGCGAAAAAACCACCGTAACACCGAAACTTCTTTTTACGTCGCGGTCATCGACAGTTCATCCTAGGGGCGCAAACGTTTACCATCGACAATGTGTTGGCCTTATTTTTATATTCTCATTGCGTTTTCGTACGAAACGAAATCATTAAGGTCGTTTTTAATCGATACGGTATGGTTACCTTTTTGATGAATGAATATTAAATTTCTATCAATTAGTTATCGGAATTACCTATTGTAGTTTCTACTGGAACAAGTAAAATTATAATTAAATTGGATTTTTATTTTCATTCGATGGTTTATGTTTTGTTTTTTCTTTTTTTCGTGAGTTAATGCGTAACCATTAACCGTCGTTTAGCCCTGAACAAACAAATTAGTGGAAGTGTGTTGTACGCTATAGTATATACATAATATTTTATAGGTCACTACTAAACGATTGCATTTACAATTGAAAATCTATTTGTGCATCTATTTGAGATCGAATACCTATTGTACAGTGTTTACGTTGAAGGGCAGGCAGAAGCTAAACACGTTTAATTTAATGCCTCGGGGCGATGTTGTGTTTCGGGTACAAGTTAGTTGAAAATTTGTAATTCCGAAATTGTCTATAGACTATTGTCTATATTATTATTATAATCGTTATTATGGCATGAACATAAAATATGTATATGTGGTCGGATATATGTATAACATAATACTTACTACTACTTTTTTAATTATAGTAGATATTTTATTATTGTTTCATTTAGGATATTTTGAAAAATAAAATGCATTGATGCGGTAAAAGAAAAATGTTGTACTATTTTATTTATTTATTTTTTTATTTGTAGTTATATAAAAAAAAATTTGTACTGTGCATATGAAATTTAAATTATTAAAAAATGTGTTTGAATATAATTCGTAAATTTGTAATTAGGTCTCTGTTTAAGTTAAAATTGTAAAACTATTTAAATATTTTTACTACAAACTCGTTTTTTAATAGGCCTGGAATGTAAATGCTTCGTATTCCTACAGACAGGAGTGGAATGAGGTCCTGTAGACCCGGGCGGGTATAAGTTATACAAGCTAGCAAATAAGCGACTAGTGTTACCTGAGCAATTATAGTTTGAAGCGCAAACATAAGATATCTGGAGGGCTTGGGTGGATATGGCCACCTATCCGCCCTGCTAGTTCACTCCTGCCCACAGAATACACCGTTTGACCAGTTTCATTCCCGAAACTCAGACCACGGACATGCATGGACTAGATTCCCTAAAGGAGAAGAGTTGTTGGAGTCGAGAATAAAATAATTAGACCTTTAATTGACTTTTAATCGGCCACTTCATCTATTAAACAATAATATTATAATTGTGCTTGCAATGGCTTGATCAAAAGTCACATACTCTCGCATTCTTCTACATACTTATTCTCGTACTCAGCCGGTTAGATACCGGATCGGTCGATGGACGCGAAGATTGTGACCGCGACACAGTAGTCTGTCTATGCTATCCATATAATAAATCAATAATATGCTATCCGTCGTGGCATGAGTATAAATATCTATGTATAATTATGAATATGAATTCTTTGTGGTTTCTATATTATCCGTAAGCAGTTTCCCATAAGGAGGGAGGACTATTGGATGTAGGATACAAGGGCTTATTGGAATTTTGATAGGATTACCTATTTTATCCTCTCAGATATAAAATGTTCGCCTTAAATTTTATTCGAAACGCAACATGGAGGTAGCTAAAGAAATGCAAATAATACTAAATTTCTCAGATAATACAAGACGAATAAAACGAAAACAAAAAAAAAAATTATCGTTGTAACTTTTGACAGTACTGAATCTGAAATGGAATTTAGAAATTATATGATTTACTATCAAATTGATTGTATTCTGTCAAATTCTGATTATAAATTTCAAATAAACATAATAATATTTGAAATATTTTTGAGCTATTTTTAAACTTTTTATCACTAATTAGTGATCAATGACTAATGAGAATCAAAAATAAAATCACTTGTATAAAAATACAAATAAAATTTTTTGTGTCACATCAAAATGTGTCACGAAATATTACACCGGAAAACTATATATTTTGAACATTTCAAAAAAGCATTGTAATGCCAACACTCAAATTATTAAATTCCTTTTACGCGAAAAATGTGCAAATAATTTTTGTAAACGTATGTTTAGAAAGTAAAAAAAAAACGCGTGGAATATTGAGAGAAATATAAATGAAAAGAATGGCAACTTATGTTAAGAATATAGTAAAGAGATTGTTGGTGAAACCAAGATTAGTATGCCAGAAAACAATAAAACGTGATGGTGGGATGAGGAGATTCAGAGAATAGTAGCAAATAAGAAAAAGCAATTTATGCTATGGCAGAAAAGCAGGAAGAGAGATGGGATAGAGTATAAAAATGTATGTAAAATAGTGAAGAGTGCGGTAAGCATAGCGAAGCTTAATAGGTATGATGGATTGTATAAGAGACTAGGAACATTGAAAAAGGAAAAGAAATGTATATATTGGCTAAGATTAGAGAAAAACAATCCAGGGACTTTCAAAATGTTTGGTGCATAAAAAAATGATGGTGAGAAGGCATTAACATATGATGGAAATGTTAAAAAATATGGAAATAATATTTTGGGAGATTACTGAACTAGAAGTATCCAAAAGGAAAAAATGCCAAAGATTAGAGAAAGAGTTTTATCGTACCAATATTTAAAGGCAAAAGGACATATAGGAATGTGGGCAACATAAAGAAATAAAGCTGATAAGTCATAGTAAGAAGATTTGGGAAAAGACTATAGAAAAGAGAATAAGAAGTGAGACATCAATATCGGAAAAGCAGTTTAGTTTTATGCCAGGAAAATCGAAAATGGAGCCATTATTTTGTATTAGATGACTAGCACAGAAGTTTAGGGAAAAGAAGAAAAAATTAGGCATGGTGCTTATAGATTTAGAAAAGGCGTATGACAGAGTGTCAAGAGAAGTTTTAAAGTGAGCATTAATGAGAAAAGATCTTAACGAAGGAGTTGGTGTACATCAGGGGTCTACTCTAATCCCTTATTTGTTTTTTGTGGATGAAGTTACAAAAGACATACAGTGCGAGGTACCATGGTGTATGATGTTTGCTGATTATTTAGTTTTGGTAGTTTAAGTCAGCTTCAGAGGCACTACGGCTTATATGAGAATCAAAACATTTCCTCCAAGTTTGAAGAATACAAGTTTTCAAGATTTTAATCAAAAAGTTGTAACAATACTCCTAAAATTTGCAACAACTTATTGATGTGAAGCAAGGTTTTCAGCCTGTACGGCTACTAAAACCTAATACCGAAACCCTCTTAATATAGAAACTGACCTCATACAGTTTTCACAAATTTAACCAGACATTGTCAACATTTTCAAAAATAAGCAGCTGAAAAAATTTCATTAGTTAGTTTTTAAAAATTAATTTTTTTACTTTGAAATCAGTTTGTCTTACAATATTATCTTGTAATTATTTTTTTTTTAATTTTTAACTTAAATTATTTTACTATCATATTATTCGTTCAATACAATTTTTTAAATCGGTTATTAATGAGACCTACTCTCAATTTGTATCATGCTATTCGTGGTATTCGTAGAAGGGTATCATAGATAAATTCGGTCCAACAAAGAGCACCACCGGCTAAAACGGTTGAAAACCATTGCATAAATGTATACGTATATAAAAAAATAAAAAATAAAATAAAAATAATTGTAAAATACTATTAAATTGTATTACAGTAAAAAAAAAAGATCATTAGATACGTAAGTAATTTATAGTTGTATAATTCATAATTATTACGATCGACCTATATTCATATAAAGATCAACGGGTTGGCGAACTATGGTTTTCAATTGATGTTAAAACGTATAGTATACAAAGGACGGCGATCGCGTTTATTTACATTGGGCACATACACGGATTAAATATAATTATGTACCTACTATGTTTCAGTTGGTCGGTGTAAAACAATCGATTATTGTTTGTACGGGGACCTAGTGTAAAACGTTTTATCATCGTTTTGTTTACGCTATTTACGCATGTAAAATATCTTTGTATGTTTATTGGTACGACGTTTGCAGTCTAAATGTGTTATACTATAACAATATGCAGCATAGTTAATAAGTTCATCCATAGCCATAGTAGATCGGGTACGTTTTTTCGATCAGTTCAAGAACGACAGTCGTATTGCAGGTATATATACTCGTATCTGTACGTCCGTGAAGTTGGCCCCCCCACTTTGTCTTATCGAATTCAAACCTTCACCAATATTTTGGAACTAATTTGAAACTATTTGGAACCAAGTTTTCATAATTTGGAACTTCACCCTTTTCCCGTAAAAAAAAATTTTAGGTTGGAGGGGAATAACTTCACGCAGCCCCCTCCCCACTTTGTCCTATCAACTTCAAACCTTTACCAATATTTTGGAACTAATTTAGAACTATTTGGAACTAAGTTTTCAGAATTTGGAACTTCACCCTTTTCCCGTAAAAAAGATTTTAGGTTTAAATTTTTAGTCTAATACGGTCTAAAAAAAAAAAATTAGCAATCGGTTCGGTTCGAGTTCGCCCTTTGTTAACATTTTCAAAACGGGACCGGACATAGATGTATAGACTGTACAAATTACAATTTAACACAAAAATTCTATTTTGTAAAAGAAAACAAAATATAAATAGATTATCTTCTATGTATCCCGCTTTGATATTATGCCGCTGAGTTTAGGGACACTCTATATAATGACACAAGTAAATAACAATTTTCCAAAAAAAAAAAATAGACTAAAAAAATTGAAAAACATTAAAATTGATATAATTTAAAAAAAAAAAAAGTTTTCTTAGCAAAAACCGCCTCTTAATTATTTTAATATTTAGAACAACTTAGTGTTTACAATTTCATTACTTTGACTACAATAAATACTAACCTTTATTTTGCTCATTTTAAAAAATTATGTGTTATACCCAGGTCTTAAGTGTAGTTAAAATAAAATAAATAACGTCTATCTTACTACACCAGCGTTCTGCAAATGAATGGACTATCTTACAAATTGTAATAGTTATAAAAATAACTCGGTATTGAAAATATATTATCCGTAAAAGACTATATGTATATTGAACCATTTAAATATAAATTCATAAAAGTAACACTTCATGGACTTGTCCAATAATAATAGCCTGAATGTATTGTGTTCAAAATAGCATCAAATTATATGACAAGATAAGGAAAACCAATAATAATATGATTTATATTAATTTTATCTTAAACAATGTAGTTTGTGTTCGAAAATATTAAAGTATATTTACTGTTATATTTTTATACGTTCATAGATATTTAGTTAATTTTAATACACTTTTCGTAAATTTCTAATTATATTGGCAGTTTAAAATAGTAATGTTAAAGTTTAATGCCATATAAAGCTACGAAGAACTAAAAAATTGTTCTCATTGAATTGATAATGCCTGGGTGAAGGATATAACTTTTTTAAGTTGCTAATAGTTATTTATATGTTGTAAATATTTACATGGATAGCAAAATTTGACAACTACAAAAATTATGCTTCCTAGTTTCAAAATGTTAATTTTAGATACTCCGAAATCTCCCTCCTATGAGCATAGCAATATACAAAGAGCACATATGGTCCGGAGTTTAAATATTATATTTCAATGGTAAAATAAAATTGTCTGCTAATCATAAAGATATATTTTAAAATGTTCTATGGTATTATATAACATTTATAGATACTAGTAATGCAAATTAATTTTTTTACCAAATTGAAAAACAGATTTCTAAAAACAATATTTTAGGTATGTACTAAGAAATATAATTTTGAAATTTCAACTTTGCAATTTTTAGATTTGTTTTCTTTTAGATAACTAATTTTCCTTTTTTAAGCATTAACTAATTTCAAATCTCACAATTTTAATTTGTTATTACTATTTTTTTTTAAATCTGTAGCCTATATTAACTATAGATGTTTCGGAAAACTAGATTCTAATTAATTTCAAATAAGATTCAAAATATTGGTGAAGGTTTGAAGTCGATAGGACAAAGTGAGGGGAGCAGCGAGAAGTTATTCCCCTCCAACCTAAAATCTTTTTTACGGGAAAAGGGTGAAGTTCCAAATTCTGAAAACTTGGTTCCAAATAGTTCCAAATTAGTTCCAAAATATTGGTAAAGGTTTGAAGTCGATAGGACAAAGTGGGGGGGCTGTTTGAAGTTGGCCCCCCCAACCGAAAATCTCTTATTTCGAGAAAAGGGTGAAGTTCCAAATTATAAAAAGTTGGTTCCAAATAGTTCCAAATTAGTTCCAAAATATTGGTGAAGGTTTGAATTCAATAGGACAAAGTGGGGGGGCCAACTTCACGGACGTCGTATCTGTACAATAATTGCCGCCACCATCGCCGGTCGATTACTTTGAGGTCATATATTGGAAAATATTGGTAGTATTATCATTTCGTTGTAGATTTCTATAACCTTATGCATCCCCGTTGTTTCCTTCCGTCCACCCGGTACCTATATGTTGTCACGATTGTAAATACTAAGATATTGAACTGTATTCATAGAATTAAAAAATAATTTCAAAGTAATTTAATACCATGAAGTATTTAATATAGATTCGTACTAGCCAAAAACCAAAAATATGTACCAGATAATAAATACTTTTTTTACAAGTTCAGATAATACTTGAGTAATTTATTTATGTTTTTACACGTGAGCATAACATTATACAAGTCGACAAGTTCTTTTTGCAGCAAATTCTCGATAGTCGGAATACAGGGAGCCATACTAAAAATTTGCTTTAGAATATAGGTTATTAAATTATCGAGAGCTTATTGTAAATTAAACATGGAATTATGGTTTGTTGTCTAATATACGTTTAGAAGTCAGGACATTGGCACGCGCACAGATTGTGCTGAATGTAGGTTAAGTGTTCGAAAGTCAAGTGTCATAATGTCGAGTGACATAAAATCAGTTGTTATAAATTCGTATGTTATAAAAGTTATTGATCATAAACGTCATTTGTTATAATTTTATTTTTTTTTATAATATATAATAAAAAATTATTTTTTAGATGACGATTTAATTTAATTTAAAAAATGACATAATATAATATAATATAATAACATTTGACATGGAACCGTCTTAACTTGTTATGAAATGGTCAGTGAAATCTTGTAAAAATCTATACCGTAACCCATGCGTTTACGATATTAATATCAGCTCATCATGATGCAGGGACGTTGTTTCCACGTATATAATATTATATAGTATATAATATTAATATATACTAAGTTCAAACAATCGGAAACAGTACAAAAATGCATTGTTACAAAAGACAAACGAAACGTTTATTTTTAAAATTTAAAATTTAGACAAACACCACCACCCGATAGTACGATTCGCTATATTATGTATCATTAAATTATTAAAATCTGCACGCAGTAAAGATTATTAAAAAATATAAAATTAATAATAATAAAAATAATCAAAAAAGTTACAATAATCAATTTGTTTTTAAAAAATCACTTTATTTTCGGTTCATGATCAATGGTTTTTTTTTATATTATATTATTAATTACTAGTAAAATAATTAATTTCTAACGTTTGAGTACAAATTCTGTTTTCAATTATGTAAAGGTACGTATTGGAAACGATGATCATTTTTCGTCGAATGCAGTATAATCCCCCTCCATCTTCCCTGATACTATAATGAGTATGTATGCATGCGCGCGCGCGCGTGTGTGTGTGTGTGTGTTTGTGACACACAGAATACACCGATGCTGGAGCCCGACCGTTATCCTTCTAAGAAGGTGATAGCCGTGAATGACGTATTATTATATTATTTTATGCCCCACTACCGTTTTTTCGTCTCGACCCTCGGAAAACTATCTTATATAAACGCAACGGTTTCGCTTATTGTATATTATAATACATTACACTATTGTTTTCCTCCGTAGTGACAGTTCTCGCGAAACAGGAAAATGTCCGCATCAAACAGTACCGGTTTTCTATCGTTTTTCACGCAAATCTGGTGTTGCTACCTCATCATACCGACATGCTCTAAAACCGTCGAGGTGAGTTTATTTTTGTTATACCGGTCGTACGTTGTGTACTTTTCATTAGCACCGTGTTCAAACCCGTTTACTGCGTAAAACAATTGGCTTGTTTTTGAATTTTCTCTACTCAGGTGGGCACCACCGCGGAACACGTATCGCCAGTTTTGGAACTCGGAGAAGGTCCGCACTGGGACCCGTTGACGCAAAGCTTATATTTCGTCGATCTTCATCGGGCCAGAGTCAACAGATACCATCCGGAAACGAATGGTTATTTTATCGCCACGATCGGTATGTTGTACCTATTTGTAAATGTTTATTGATATACACCAAACTTTCAGTTTTAAACGCAACAACACGAACGCGGCTATTTGCAAGAAATGTCTGCAGTTTTATAAGAAGTGATACAGTGAACAGTGATACATAACAAGAAAATAGTAATGTACAAACACGCACGAATAAAATCGTAAACAGTGATGAATTTAGAATATTTACAATATATAGCTAAAAATATTGACCACAAATTATGATATTGTACTAAATCAGTGGATAGTTTAGTAAAGAACTTGATATACGTAACCATTGGTGGTCATGCGGTCAATAAAAATTAAGGTTTCGTGGTTTGACAATCAAATCAATGTTTCCTAATATATTGTTTTTTGTCTGGAAGGAGCTTAAAAAAGTTTTAAGTTATTCAAAACCAATACTTCATCTATACGTGTTAGATTCCATTTGCGAAAAATTGTAGTTTTAAATCGATAAATCAATATACAAAGCGTTTTTTTTCTAAATATTTTTTTTATTCAATTTTTTATTGTAGATGACTACGAAGGTGACGTGAGTCTTATCATACCGGCAGAAGGAAAAAACAATAATTTTGTGGTCGGTTTGGGCCCTTCGATAGGCATCATTGAGTGGGATGGACGTTCGAACAAAACTAGCCGACCCAAGCACGTGAAGTTAGTCGACGAGACGCCGGGCAATCGTCTGAACGACGGTAAAGCTGACGCTACCGGTCGGCTGTGGGTAGGTAAGTACACTGAAATGGGCAAGAATCATACTTTATACCTGAGTAGATCGAGGGACCAGGGAAAGGGGTGAGAAAGTTAATTATATGCTTTATAATACTTGTCGGTTTTCCAAAGGGTCCATGGGACCGGAGATTAAAGAAAGCCCGGGTCATTATCACAAACGTCGGGGTAGTCTGTACTCAGTGGAACTGGACGGCACCGTCATCAAACGTTTGTCGAATGTCAGCATATCCAATGGGATGGCGTGGAGTTTGGATAAGAAAAAGTTTTACTACGTGGACACCTACAAGTTTGCAGTCGAGGCGTACGATTTTGACATCGTTTCGGGAAATCTCAGTAAGTATATGATCGCCAAAAATGGAAATCTGATCGTAATATTTGATGAGTGGCTAATAATTTTCTCATATTACTCTAATTATTCTACGGATTCTTTAAATACTATTAAAAATTATATTAATAAAGGAAATGATTGATTGTCCACTCGGAGCGGTTAACCATTTCTCCGGCCAAAGTACTCCGACAGTTTGACAAATTTGAATATTTATCTGTCGGGTGGTCCTATACGACTTACACTTAAATATGCAATTAAGCCTTATTAATTACTTAATTGTTCAGTTATTATAATGACTTCATATGCTGAAATCCCTCAACATACAAGACAAATAATAATAATAATAATTATTGCAAATAAATTTTTCCCATCTAATATCGAAAAATAATTAAAATAGGAAATTATTTAACGCACTTTTTTTCCGGATTCTGTAAACGATAACACGATGTTGTATTTATTATTATAATCAATTATTATGTTATTATTGCTGCAGCTAACAACAGAGTGATTTTCAATATGACTGCAAAAAAAGTCCCCGGCGATCCGGACGGCATGACCATTGACACCGATGGAAACCTTTGGGTAGCTTGTTTCAACAGTAATTACGTAAGTTTTTCGAACGTTTTTTTTCTTTTATTCTTTTACCATTTTACTTTTTTAAATATTTGTATTTCGTTTTGTCTATTCCAAACAGATTTTGAAAATCGATCCCAAAATCGGCCGGCTATTGGAAACTGTGCAATTGCCTGCATATCAGGTCACTTCTGTCGCGTTCGGCGGGTTAAAATTAAATGAACTATATGCGACCACAGCCGGTTACCACCTGACCGAAGTGCAAAAATCTAAACGACCATACTCTGGGTCGGTTTTCCGAGTGACCAACACGGGATCGAAAGGTTTCGCCGGCGTACCAGTCAAAACCAAATCTTGGCATATATAGTTATGAGAAATTATGAAAAAATAAATGAATTAAAAAACACCGCGCTGTACATCACGGTGTCGCTATAATATTGTTCGGCGTAAATATAAAATATTTATCTTTAAGCACAGCTGTTTATTTATGTTTATAATGTATTAGGTATAGCTTATATATATATATATATATATATATATATATCATTGTAGTATTGAATACAACACAATTTATGGTTGATAAAATAATAGTAATGTAATGAAAAGTGTGCTTATTGTTTTTAACAAACTCCAGACATATAAGAGTATATATTTACACATGGTATAAAAATAATACTTCACCAGACGAAAGCTTGTAAATAACGTTGACTAATTCCTTTTGAATGTAAATCCGTTATTACAAAATGTATTAAAATGTTACCGTAAAGTATATGACTGTGGCAGTAATCTTTTTAGTAATTAAATTTGGTCGAACACAAAGAAAATGTAAAAAAAAAATAGGTAAAAACTTTTCCTTTATGTTCTGCGATTTTCATGAAAATTATTATTATTTTTTTCCATTCTTTCATTTTATAAACGGTAATCTTGTTTTAGGAATCCCGTCTCTGGGAAATTTTTATTTTTTAACTAATAAACATGACATTTAATCGTTAAAACAAATTGTATTATCATTGTGTATTACTTTTAATCTAAAGTTTTCTCATAAAAAATTGAAATGTATAAATAATCGAATTTGACAGGTCGTCTAAACTTAGTATATATATACACTGAGAACAGATCTCATGAAATACCAACTGCGTTGTTAGTTATTTGTTAATAACTTTAGATGCTGAACAAAGCGACGGATTGTATGCATTAAGATAATATATTTATTTATATTACTAAATTTTAGTCTTCACATTTATTCTGAAAATCGACAGATGATGCAAGTACATTTTTCCAATGGGTTTTTAAATAAACCAAAAAAATTGAAAAAAAATGCAAACTTATCTGTTGTGAGTTATAAAAATTATTTTCTTTTGGTTGTTTTCATTCAGAAAATACCCTCAGATTCTTAATTTAAAACAAAATCCGTGTGGTATTAAAACAAATGATTTCGATAAACCACGTATAAGGCATTGAAAGATATAACAATGGATTAGATCGACGAAAACCGCAAGCATATAAGACAAATCAAATATGGTAAGAACAGTGTTCATGAATTGTTTATCTTGTGAGTTCTTTACGCGTTGTCTTGTGCAGTTGTATGGCGCCACGATACCATAGGGATAACGTTGTTTAACGCGGTTGATTGGAGTAATATTTTTTTTTCACTTCTGAAACGTTACGAATTTCATCGAATATTGTTCTTACACTATCGGTCATTGATATTTTTCATTGTTATGTGCTACGTGTAAAAAAACTTTCGTGGTACTCGTATAAATTCGCAATGTCTTGTTTGTTTCGTTTAATAGTCGTGATGTTCGTTTTCGGCAGTCATTATTGTTCCGTTGACTATTCCCGTCGGTCCGTGTCACCAACATGTTCCCCAGACGGGTTAAAATCGAATATGAGCGATAAAGTGCGAGCAAACGAAACAGTTTTAAACTTTCGCGCGTCAATGATATTCATATGCTGTTTTATCTTCTTTAACATTACAGGTCGCCAATACTGTGACGTGTAATTCCGAAGTAAAAATCCGAAATTTATACAATTTGACCAATGAACAGCTGAGCTTGTATGCGACCGCTCAGTGGAATTATAACGTCAACGAGAACGAGGAGACGACGGAAGAGGCCGTAAGTGACCATCATATTGTCGGTAATTAAAAATAAATTGCCAAGACGTAAGTCAGAAGAAATTCTCATAAAACGTTTACGAAAGTGGTGGGCGATGAGGTGTTGAGAGCATTAAGATATTATTTTGTTCGAAAAGACTTTTTTCAATGTCATCAGTAGTGCAAAAAAATAATAACTCACTGCAGGGCGTTACATTTAAATATTCAAATTTCGTATGATTTCGTTTTATTCCTGTATTCGAAGCACACAATTTATATGCTAATAATTGCCGAGTCTACTGGTGCGCAACCGACAAATATATACATCTAAATATATATATCCCACAAATAACCAAGCATACGAGTTTCTACGAATCAAACGTAATAAAAAAATAATTCTCTATATATGCCGTGTATGCCATAACCTAGGAACAGTGAAGCCCATGGCTATGAAATATTTTGAAAACGTTCCTGTGTTCTATTTCAAAAAAATGTTTTCTTTCAGCGCATATAATTTCGTTGAGTATAACTTAACTCTTACGTGTATTTTTTTATTTTATAATAGAAGTTGAAGTATATATACGGGGAGATATATCCAAGGTTTTATTTGATAAAACCGATAATGCACAATGTTACGAAAATATTCAGGTCAACATACGTGTTCGTTAATAACAGCTAATTGTAGGACCTTAGTAGTTACTTGAAATTATACAAATTTATTTTTATTTTTTAATTTCTTTGTAAAAAATGGCAAATGGTTTTCAATTTTTATTTTATAATTAATTGAAATAAAATCGATAAAATTCAATTACTTAAAAACGGTAATACTCATTTTTTATATGTAAACTTTTGTGACGGGTTGGGAGCTATCAATGATTTAATTAATTTTTATATTACATGTTTGTAATCTAGATTTATCATTAGGAATCATTTTCCGCATATAAAATGATTCATCATGGTTTTACAACTGTCTATGTTGAATCGCCTTATTTCATAATTTGAAGAATCGAAGGACAAAAGCTGATTTTTAATTTTATTTAATTAAATCTAATTTAATTAAAATTTAGATTCATATTATAAATACCCTAGCTGAATTATTCCGTCTTTCCTAAGAGATTATATATTATTTTGGAAAAATATCAATTACTATGTATGTATTATTATTTTGATGAAAAAAATCTGATCGAAAATGCAATTTTTACATTTATTTTTACAAATTGTTTATGTACCTATATATAATATAATAATAATATATATATATAATAATATTTACATTTTATCAAAATATCAAATATATTGATATGGTAGTTATGGTGATTATGCGCTTATCTGTGAGTGAGTGTGTGGTATTTTAATTTTATATAATGATGTACTGCAATGTTTTTTTACGTACTTCATTGCTGATATTTTTAAAATGAAAAAAAGTCTTTTGTAACTTTGTGATGACAAGTATTCTCTAAATCAGTGGTGCTCAACCTTTTTACATCCACGTACCACATATACGTTTCGAAAAAAATGTTTGTGCCACTTGACTTGGTAACTTTTTTTTACTTATTAACGAATAAAATTACATAATTTTACATATAATTAAACTTTTTTATAATTAATTTTATTAATTTAAACTACATAATTACATAAGTTAAATGCGCAAAAAGTAATATAACGTACAATATTTAAAATTATTATTAATTATAATGAATATTAATAAATAATTTAATGAGACAGTTGATGTTGTATTGAACGAAGCGGAACGTCATATCTATGTTAGTAATTTTAGGTCTTAAATTGTCATATATGTTTGTTTTGCTCTTATGTTGTAGATATTTATAATAATAGCTAATATCAAATAAACCAATTAATATGAAATGGTAATAATAATAAAAATGAAACAATTTTTTTAAAAAATATTTGTCTGTATACTATCTACGAGCTTTCCACGTATGACAGGTTGGGAACCACGGCTATAAGTGATACTGTAGTGTAATTTATTATTTTTGATTTTGTATTATCTTCAATTCAAACAACAGATGATTTTCTTTCCTGATTTCTTTAGAAAATTTATTTTAATTTTACCTTTTTTCTTTTAGATTTGATTTATACCGCACTTTATTGTTAGGTTAAATTACATTTTGATTCGAAATCACACTTGTATTTTGTTTGTACGAAAAATAATTTGTAATATGTTTAGATACAATTAATTTGTAAAACATTTTCCATGTTTTTGAAAACAACCTAGGTAGAAAAATAACAGAATTATCTTTTTTTTTCTTTTTTAAATTTAATTAGCCTTTGTTCGCATATTACAGCAAGACCTAATTATCTTCAAAGTATATATTTTATTTTATAACACTTATAGCCATAATTGTTTCTTATTATTATAATTGTAATATATAAATTTTGATTAACTCGCGTATTCATGATTAATAGAGTTAAATTAGAGAACATTCGGCGATTGGATAAAATAATACCATTGATTCTATGAATAATATTTTACGATTTTAACTTTATTCAATTCGAATATATTTTAATATTATTTCTGTTGGTGGTGTTAAACAGGATAATACAATAGAAATTGAACTCATTAATATTAGTTTTTCGTATAATACCTGTGTAATAGTTATTATTCAATCATAATATTTAAATATTTAGTATTTTAATCGCTTACACATTTGATTTTGACCGTACATTTTTATGTCTAATTGTAAACATTTTAAATTACATACTTTGCTTCTTAATTTTTCAAGCTCATAATCTTATAGTTAATCTTTGGATTAGATTTTTGTTAGTCCAATTTTAATATTATGTTAAGTCTTTTTTGACTTATTTTTATTTATTTACTCATCCGACAAATCGAACGAAATATTCATCAAGCGCATTTTTGTTCCTTTTGTCGAATGTACCTCGACATAGCTAAAATGCGAATGGTGAAATTACGGTATTCGTATTGCTTTGTGACACTCGAACACGAACATTTTTTGAATGACAAGTATTTAAAATTGTTCAAATTCTTTTTTTTATAATAAGCATTATATTTTAATTCGGTTGTTAACTACTTGCAGTACAATTTTGAAGTGTAGAAATAAAGCTCGTCAATATTATTTATACATAATATTACGATTATATTTTGATGAAAAAATATAAATTCTACGCATTAAAAATTAAAATGTATACATTTTCGTTATTGTTTACAGCTGAAATCTTCTATACAATTGTTTTTATATCAAAAGTTACTGATCACTTCAGCTAAAAATTTGTCTGCATCTTTTGGCATGAAATATAAAGATTTGTTGCCTTTGGTGTACTTTATGCACGACCGCGGCTTATGTCAACTGGACTTGTGTGATTTTAAAGCAGTATGTACTTTTATCATTTTAATGCAATGTCTCTCGAGATTTCCTAATTAAAGTCAAATGATGATCCGATAATATAATTTACCTAACGTACCCTAATTTACATTATCGTATGCAGTGATGTTGAACTTTTTCAAGAAGCTGCGTATACTGTTAAATTATAGAAATTAATATTTTACTCCTGTTAAACCTTGATCCGTAGAAAATCACATTGACTCTCTCCCGTTTTATCTGTTCTATAAACATTTTTATGTATAATAGAATTATAATTTAATTTTAATTTAATATTTAAAATACATCTTATTCAACTAGAAATATTACATAATCTATAGTCTCTTCTATAGAAAAATGATAGTTGTGTAGTTAGATTTGGTGTTACTGGATCATTATCACTTTAAATTATTTAATTTTTAACAAAAGCTTATAATTGTTTAATTATTGTACTACATTAGTAGACGATTCTTATAATACTATTCAAATTGGTTGTAGATTCAGTCGCTGAAGAGTAAACTAAAATCAATGATAAATGGTTTAGTCATCTACGAATACCGCGAGAAGACCGATCATCCATGTGAAATAACGGCGAATGGTGATAACATAAAAAAATCGATTTTAATGAAATTTGAAATATTAATTATTTATCTATTAATATGGCTTATTATAATGACAAAATTAATTCAACAATATTCTAATAATTTTAAAATTTCCATACTCAATTTTAAATTAAACCAATTTTGAAATTATTGGCACGGGTTTTGACTTTGTTACATCACAGATTCCAGATAAATGAATTAAACAACTATGTGTGAAAGAAAAGTTTATTTCCACTTGAAAATACTGAAGTTGACATAGCTACAGGATACTGTTCTTGTGAAATACTAAAAATTATTTTATTGGAATATACCTGTATAATATTTTAGTACAAACACATTTTCAAAAAAATGTAGTTTATTAATAAAAGTGATAATCGTTCTTGAATGATCATGAATCAATGAATCACTCTAAATACTACATACAATAGTATTTATGAGTTTTAAATTAGGCTGAAGTGTAAATATGAATGTATTTATCAGAATAATCATGTAACGCAAACATATCTAATGTTAATACATTAAATTCGCAATAACGTTTAATAAATTATTTTGATGGAATTTGTATCAATAATTCAAATAAAACTTCGTGATAGTTTAAACTATTCAAGTAGTGAGTTTGATAATATTGTATTCTGGTTCTTAATGTTTTGAAACAACTTATATACAATAAACAATTAGGGAGTTGAAAAATTGGCTATTCCAAACTTCCTAGTTTCCCATTAATTTTGTACCTACACACGATTAGAAGATTTTAAATTACCTTTATATTATAATATAATATTGTCTTTATAGTATACTATATTACATCATATGTATTACTAGGTGATTTATCCAAACCTACTCGGGAGGTAGGTATTTTACTGTTTTAGATTAGACATACATACTACTAATCCTAAAGATAAAAAATGTATGTTGAAAAAATAACATAATCGTTTTATAGTTTAATAATGCTTATATTTATTTATTCTATATAGATTTACATTTATCTTAATCGGTAATTATAAGAATTAACAAGTTAAACAAAATGTAATATTTTTAAGTAAACAAAAAGTAAAAAAAATTATAAATTTAGCTCAAAACTGTTTCAACTCATTAAAAATCTATTCTTTATGCACATTTAAAGTACTAGAGTAGCCATTAAGTTAAATTTAAAATGCATACGTATTGTTGTTATATCGATCAGTGAATGATTGAGATATATTTAAATTTTACAAACGCAGAAAGTTTAAATAGTAATAGTTTTAAAATAGACTCGTTTAGTAAGTATGGGTTCTTTTGTATATTTACAACGTTTAACAAAACATATACCTTGTGTTTGAAATGTGTTTTCATATTTACCAAAAAATAATGTGGTCTATAATATTTTTATTACTTCTATCGGTTTCTAGAAGTGCATTTCATCATGGTGAACTCGACGGACGTGGCAGAGTTGAAATACTATTGGAAAGCTTGGCACACCCACACTGGATTCGAAATGAAAACTATCTACATGAAGTACATAGGACTGTTAGACCATATGGCAAAGTTGAACAGTAATTATGATTTAGGAGTGATATAATCGAATAAAGATCACAATTTCAATGATACTATCTAATAACAATTATGTACGAATCCGCTGAAGATTTTTCCAACGAATTCGAGTACTACGCGAAACTGTACTCGACGGACGGGTGCCGTCCTAACGTCGACCGGATGTACGAGAACATAAGACCGCTTTATTTGCAGCTGTACGCGCGTGTTCGAAGAATTCTCAGGGAAAAATTTGGAACGGTTGCCGTGTCCTGCGACGGTCCTATCCCGGTACATTTATTGGGTAAGTTTGGAGGATATATATATATATATATATATATATATATGTCATATACTATGTGAGATAATTCGTCTGTCTGTTCTACGACATGCCGGTGATCGTTTTTTTTCCGAAAGTAAAAAACCATTACACGCAGTCGTATCAACCTCAATACCCATTAGTAAAGTTTGTATGAATCGGAAATAATATGCGGAGTATCAGCAGCGTACCCGATGGATATTATAGTATATTATTACGGAGCGCATGACTTTCGGAAAAAAACGAAATAACAAATGCAACACTGTCTTATACGAGAGCAAAAATACGGGATACGACCTCACAGGCTTAACATGTGTAACAAGGGTGGTTTTCTATGAGGTTGCGACAGCCCTCGAATGTTGATTATACTAAATTATACGAGAGCAGTCTTATCAATGGCGTAAATTGTTCTCTAACTATGCATAATAATTGTTAACGATGTTAAAGAGGCTTATAATATATATATTTATTTTTTTGCTTTTAACAAAATCTTTAAAATTGTATTTGACCAATAGATTAAACAAGATACAATTTACGAAATGCATGACATTTAAATTTATAGATACAGGATCACAATTAAAAACAAATTTAACTTTTTTGTGATATAAAGTAGATAAGCGGCATATTGGACTGTTATTCATCTAATTTCCAGAACTGTGGGAGTAAGAAAACTAGAATTACAACTATGGACTCTAAAATCCATTCCTGACAAAAAAAAAAAAAAAAAATCAGGATAATTTATTGATAGATTGTTCTTTAATAAATTATTATTGGTCCGATAAATAATTATATGCTTGGTATTATGATCAAATAATGCATTAAGTACAATGACAATACATTATTTATCGCAGCGTTATTTATTCTCTTCGGTAAATAAAACACTGATAATACTCAAATTCAACATTTTTTATGCATACAAAATCAGCGTGAAAAGAAAATATACAATACTTAATGTGCATTACTGCACAAAGCACTACTGCTTTGCACGGTCCGTAATTTTAGGGACTGAAAATTTAAAATAATTTGTTAGAGTGAACCGAGACCGGACCGCCGGTCCGAACTAATAAATTTGTAAAAGCTTATAGACCGAACCGAACCGGAATGTGGACTTATTATTTTTCTACCATACAAGACACAAAGTCTAACATAATATGATAGAGCGGACAAACGATCCAAACTAAAAAAATATTGCACCATGAAAATAGACTATAGTAAATTTATATTTTAGAATAGGTATATATATACTACACTATACACTATATATGTATATATACACTACACTATATATATATACTACACTACACTATACACTATATACTATACTTTAATATTGAACAACTTGCTATCTGCCAGATAGCAAGTAGTTCGATATTTCCAACGGGTTTCACACATTTTTAAAAGTGTTTGGTGGCGTGCGCATGGAATTAAGCTTTTTATGGATTTTTTTAGTACTTCCGACCTTTTTGGAGATTTTCGAAAGAATGAAGTTATTGTAGATATAGATCCAATATAATTTCTTATTTCGGGAATGATGGATAATGGATCATTAAAATAATTTTAAAATTTTTTTAATATTATTAATATTTCGGTGGGACTACAGCCCCCCCCCCTGGTTACGTCACTGCTCCAGATACACCTAGTATACTTAGTACCGATCAAACTGTTGTCGAGTGAAGTCGGGTTGCCAAAATTACGTGTGTTTAATTTAAAAATTCAAAAATTTCCACAAGATCCTAGTACTCTCCATTTTTTTCTTCGTATCGTTCAAGTCTCATTTTAATTCATTGGCTATTTCCAACCAGAAGTCAATTTTTTTCTTACTCCATTTTATAATGGGGATGTTCAGGATCCCATAGAATTGGTCTTGATTTATATAAATTTATAAAATGTGAACATTCATCGTCCGTCCACTCCACAATTGAGTAAAAATAAAATATTTAACATAAAATACGACGCAAACACCGCATACGGGCCGAATGCCGTTCAAATTGAATGGATAGTTTGTTTGATCTTACTGCTCTTCAGTCGATCACGACCGCACGCGAACGAACGTTATCGTTCGTATGCGATCGGACTGTTAACATTATTCGTGCGGTTGTGTTCTTGCGCCATTCGTTCGTATGCGAGCTCTAATGTAAACGCACCTTTACTCGCACCATAACGAGAATAATAATAATTTTTCTTAAAAATATGTTTGATAATAAATTATTAATAGCCAATAGGTACCATGAACAGTTTTGAGATATATACATGATACTACATACAATTTATATAAAAAAACGGTGCTGGGGTAAAATATTGATTTCCATGGGCCATAATGATAATATTCGTGTTATTAATTCTGTAAATAACGTCTTTATAATTTTAAATCATTGTTCAATAGATATTAGATTTGAAACAAGTCGTAATATTAGCTGTACATTTTAAATTAATTGGGACCGATCTGATTATATTTTAGAAACCGGACCGAACCGAAATTATTATAGTTTAAACTAGTAATGGTTAACGGTGACTAAATTTGGTCATCGCGACAATGGTGACAGCTACTTCAATGTCACAGTGACTTTTAATGGTGACTGGTCACCATTCGTTTTGAATGATAAATATTTAAGTTATTCAGTTATCATCATCGAGTATTATATTGGCTTAATTAGGGTGACCTCAAATGTGGTTTTATAGTCACTAACTTACAGTTATTTTTAATGGTGACTCGACATTACCTATAATATTTTTTTGATAATTATAAAATATTATTGTGGCTAATAGGCACAAATAGAAGACATAATATATATTTAGTGGGTAGTTAATTATTTACTAGCTTATTGCTTAAGCACCTAGAACATATTTTTTAACATACCTTCGAGTTACGATGGCTACAGCCAATAAGTTACTTTTTATTTTTATTTTTATTAATATTCAGTTACTAACCACCATTGCCGCAAATAATAATATAATATTAGTGTAATAGTGTCACCTGTTTACTGTTACTTACGATTAAAGATAGTATTAGATTAGAATTAGAACTGATAAAACTGATAATAGTCACCACATTCACAGTTATTGATACACTGAGAGTTTTAAGTCACCAAAGTCGCTAGTTACCATTTATTTTTGAAATTGTCGCAGTGACTAAAGCGGCCCATACAAGTTTAATATTATTGAAAAATTATTAAACATAATATCATTATCAAATTACCAGGTCCTTTATCAAATAGTAAATCAGATTTAAATTCACTTTAAACAATTTATTCATTTTAATTATAAACAATTATATCTGATAATTAAGATAATACTATAATAACTCTTGCTCTAGCTATTTATTTTCTTGATAAAAGGAAGAAAAAACGGAAGTAGAGGTTTTGGGCTAATGAGAGATTGCAAAAGCAAAATAAGTATAATTTTGAAAATCTGTTATCTGAGCTACGATTAAACTAACCTGAAGATTATCAAATTTTTTTAAGAATGAACGAGTCATGCTATGATGAACTTTTAACTTTAGTTATTCCATTAATAAAAAAAACAAAATACAATAATGCGAGGATCGATTTCAGCCAGCCAAAGTCTGTCCTTGACTCTGCGTTACTTAGCCACTGGTAACACATTTGAAGATCTCAAATTAATTTTATTAATTTATTTTTAATTTGTTCAATATTATTGATCAATCCTTCAATACTGCCAATACACGATCAATATTATTGATCAATATTATTGACCGTGTATGGGTCGCTTAACAGTGACACTTTTGTCGCAGTGACAAAGTAACGGCGACGTGATTTTACACTCATCACTAGTTTAAACCAGGACCGAACCAAAATCATTCAAAAAAATATTGATTTGGACCAAACCGATCCTTCAACTAATTTTATACGATAAGACTGGACCGTGTAGAGCATTAGTGCATTACTATTTGTTTTGCGCCTTAGTGTGTAATTTAAAAAAAAATTAACTTCGACTAGGAAAGATTTTTTTTTTTTTTTTTATTTAAAAGGAAACTTCGTTAATAATTAGTTTTGACAATTATTTTTGCAAAAGTATTACATAAAGGTATATAAAATTAAAGACAGAAGATATATTACAAATAAATTAAATTTTTAAGCCAGCCTGGTTGATGAAGAATATAAGTGAGGTAATAATTGGTATAATTGGTGAAGAGAGGATAGATTGGGTGTCGAGAGGGACATTAAAAGAGTGGATTAGGGCGAAGAGGCTATTGCGTTGGGGAACCAGTGAGGGACAATGAAAAAGTATGTGTGAGATATCGCAAATCATGGGATCATGAGCGTGTAGCATGCATAAAAGGGAGTTATTGAGAGAAAGTTTATAAGAGTGTGAAGGTAGTAGAGTGTGTCCAAATCATAAGCGTGAAAAAGAAGTAATTATGTTACGATTTAATTTGAGGTTGTGAAACCAAGGATGAGAAGGTATAGATAGTGACATATTTTTGTACCAAGGGGCATAATTGGGTGCTAGATTGTTCCATTGGTTGTGCCATAAATTAGAAATATGAGATTTTAGTAAGGGAAAAAAATCGGTCCAGGGAATTAAAGTCGGAGAAGGACAGCAGAACGAGGAGGTAGATTTTGCAATAGAGTCCGCTATTTCATTACCATTTATGCCAGAATGGCCAAGCACCCAAAAAAATTCAACTATAACATCTGAAAGAGAAAGTTCGTATAGGAGTTGCCTGATCCTGATGGAAATAGGGGAAGGGCGGGAATTGAAAAAATCGGAGGAGAGGCTGAGAAGGCTTGATAAGGAGTCGAAACGATGAGGAAGCTACTGGGAGGGAGGGTAGAAATGGTTGAAAGGGCTTCTAAAATTGCGAAGCATTCAGTAGTGAAAGATGAAGCAGAAAGGGGTAGATTATTGGACATGGAAATATGTAAATCGGGAATGTAAAAAGCGTAACCGGACGAAAGAGAGGAAACGGAACCATCAATATAAATTAAGGTGTAATTGGGGAAATGATTTTGGATGTAGAATAA